CGCAGGGCCGTTAACAGAGGGAGTTTACTGGGTTGGACTTAAAACGAGGAGGGTGGGGAGCACTGGGACACCACGCTTGGAGATTCAGACTCCAGCTCAGGGTGGGGAACAGCTTCACGCAGGACAACTGCCCGGTGCTGCCCCACCAGCAGCTCAACCCCTCAGCACCACCGCTGCCCAGCACAGCCCTGCTCACAGCCATGGTGGTCACCATCCCGCCAACACCCGCTCCCTTCCCAGCACAGGGTTAAAACACGGGGGAGCGCGCATGGAGCGTACCGATGTATCCTGCGTTACAGACGCACACCACTTGCAGCGTGACCGGGTCCTGGTAGCAGCCGCTGGCAAACTGGCGGCCGCTCTCGGGGCCATCGGGGCATGGGCAGGGCCGGCAGTGGTCACCTGAGCCCAGGACAGGGTCTCCGTAGTAGCCGGGCAGGCACCTAGGCAAGGGGGACACGGCGTGCAGGAGCTGCATGTGCACAGACCACAGCGGTGGCGTGGCTGCGCTTGTTCCAACCTCCTCATGCTGCAGGGGGGGAAGGGACCTGCTCCGAGGCCTCTGCGGTTCAGGAGTGAGGGGCTGTTTGCTCCCATTGCTGCCAGGGACGGCCAGGAGCAGATGCCACGCTGCAGCATGTGCCACCAGCCAGCCCTGCCACAGGCTGTGTGCTGCCTCCAGACACAAGGAGTTGCCGTGCCCTCCCCTGAGTCCCACATCCCCTCAGGAACACGTACCTCTCGCAGCTGTGGCCCGACGTGTGGTCGCGGCAGCCATGGCAGGCGCCGCTGTGGGGGTCGCAGTCGTCCGCGTGGCCGTTGCAGTGGCAGGGCTGGCAGTTGGGGAAGCCCCAGAAGCCGGGCAGGCAGCGGTCGCACTGCCGCCCGTACACCCCGGGGAAGCAGTGGCACTGGCCCGTCTCCGCATCGCAGAAGGCATTGTAAGAGCCTCGGAGGTGGCACTCGCAAGCTGCAAGGAGAGCAGGACAGCAGTTGCCTCTCTGCCCTTCCTCCCAGACGTGGCAAAGCTCGGCACCACGTCATGGAAAGTAAAACGTCCCAAAGGATCCGCCCCGCATGCGTGTGGGAGTCTACACGAGGGGTGTGTTGTGCTAGATGACCACGATTATAAAGAACAAGAGATATCTTCAGAGTGCAGCATAGGGAAGCATTAGGTTCTTTCCCTTCTGCCACACGACACCCTCGGCTACGGGCACCCCGTGGCGGGTTCAGAGGTAGGGGACCAACGTACACCTGCATCCACTGGGGCCAAAGCCGAAGGTGCCGGGAGCGCATCGGTCGCACTGCCTCCCGACGACGTTGGGCCGGCACTGGCACTGCCCTCCGCTGGGGTCGCACACCGAGCTCAGCGAGCCCTGCGGGTCGCACTGGCAAGCTGCACAGAGAAAAGCCTCATCAGCGGCCAGCACGTCGCCATCTCCATCACCATCATGGACACACACACGCACACACACACACGTTTCCCCACGCAAGTTGCTCTTTCAGGCAACAGCACCAAGGTTCCACATGCAGTTTGCTCTGCAAGGCGAGTCAGGGTCACATACATAATGCGGTCTCGTGCAAGAGAGCAGAAATGCTGAAGATTATGTTCTTGCAGACATCTGTCATGGGAGTTTTCACAACGCTCCTGCTGTTCTCCAGGCACCGGTATCTCTGGAAGGTTTCCCAGACGCTGTTCGTGACCACATCTTCGCCTGAGCCTCCCACCGTGAATATGTCCAGGGATTTGCAGTATGGCATGAGAACGAGCTATGAACGAATTTTTATGATGACAAGGCATCACTATTTATGAACACTGTCTACCAACTTTGTGAAAATTCAGTTATCCCACTTCTTACCATATCACCATTTTTGGGGGGGAAAAAAAAAAAGCAGGTAACTACAGAATTCAGCAAGGAAATGACCAAATTTTTATTCTTTTTTGTGTAACAGTTTCCAGTATCTACTATAGTCTCATATTTTATCCTTTAATTCACTAAAAAAGTTTGATATTCATGACATGCACTGCACGAGCTAGCCTTTCCAAAAAGGAAACTGTACAAGTTTAGCTCTCTGGAACTACTACAATCCTTTAAAATAAAGCAAAAACCCCTTAACCAACAAAAAACATATCCTTTGAGACTGAAGAAGTTGCTTTAAATTGCCAATTAAAATCCAGATTCAGTCATAAGTGAAAACTTTATAAAAGAGATTCCTCTGGATTTCCATGGACACATTCCAGAAGAGAAGCCAACCTGAAGAACATCAAATACCCCTTGGCATGTGAGCATCCCCAAGCTGATTTCTACTCACAGAATCGATGAGTGTGTAGGGGCTCTCCATCTCGGTATCCACCGAGGAGTATTTGGGCAGCTCCAGGCGAATCGTGTAATTCAGGCCCTTTTCAAAGCACACCGGGCGGGGAAGAACGACATATCTGCAGCGGGAACAGGAAACAAGTCTTACTTCCAATGTTCAGTACCATAAAAGAATTTAGGTGGCCCAATAAAGCAATCAAGATAAGAAGTGGCTATGAACAGAGAGAACAAACGGTACGACATGAAAGAGATGGTTTGGAGACTTGTGTAAATTAGAAGTGGAAAGGCTAATCCAGGATGGCAGGAATCATACCAACGTTCATCCATGGCTTGTGCAAATACGGAACTTTTTTCACTCATTTACTGAATGAACAAAACAAACCAGACAAGCAGAAAAAAATTACAAGATTTGCATCTCTTGGCACAATATAAAATGTATTTTTTAAATGTTTGGCATTAAATTTCACTCATTTTCACAGAGAGGGTGGCAAGTTTCGCAAGCTCAGAAAAGCACTCTGATGCTGACTTGCTGCAGCTGGACTGGAATCAATTTGACAAATGAATCCAGCAGGGTTTGGGTGCCTCTTAGTTGCCCATGTTGGGCAAATTTGCCACCTGGTGATTTTTAAAAGGTTTGCTCTGCCCGTTTATACCAACCTGGAGCCAGGTGAGAGGGAGACGACTTGATGGTCGTCATCGGGAACCGTGTTGCCACATCGGCTACCTGTGGGGATCTTGCCCGGCCGTGACACACTGACAACAGCTTTTTCCCACTGATCTGGCAACTGGGGAAAAAAAAATAACCATGAGCATGATGCAACAGCTGCAAGCTGCCGAGAGCACCCGTAGCATAGGCTAGGGAGAGCGCGACCCGCGGGCGGCAACTACAGAACGTGCCAAGCTCCAGGTTTTTCTCTTCACCTCCCACCTGCGGATTATCCACAGCCCAAATTGGCTGCTCGGAAGCTCCTGGCCATGAGCATTCAATATGCAAGGCCAGCAATTTGTCTGCTAAGTCACGTAACCGTGTTCCCTCCCAGCCTGCCTGGTTGATGCCAAATTTACAGTGTAATCTGCCCCGAAGGGATACGTCACTTTTTAATCTGCTCATTAAACTGTATGCATACCCTTAGCACAGTTAAAACACCACAATAATGATGGAAATTCAAATTGCAAAGCAAATAATCCTAGTGATGGCGATAACCTCATTGGATTTTCAAGCACTTTGCACACTCTGCTGCGCTGCTGTCGCTGTCCCCGGGTCCCCACGGCTCCAGCAGGAGCCCCAGGGCGCGCCCGTGTCGCCGGGAGGGCGCCGCGCTCGGACCCACCTGCGGCTCGTAGCGAACCAGGATCTCGTACTCCATGGAGTAGGGGATGTTGTCGATGTAAAACTCCAGGTAGGAGCCCTCTGGGACGCGCACAAAGCCCACCCCGGTCCAGGAGGGTGTGCGGTCCTGCGTGGACTGGCGCTCTATTATGTTTACTCCCTGCAGCAACAAGGGACAGGGATGATAAAATCAGACGTGAATATTCCCATGGCAGGACATAACTGACCTGCTCTGATGACTTCTGCATCATATTTACAGCAGTAGGATTCACAGGCAGCACCATATAGTGCTATACTAACTGCCCAGCCTGAACGATAACTTCTTCCTGGCTAGACTGTGCCAGGCCAAACCAAACCACTGATGAGGGCAACATGTTAAAAGCAGTCCTAGCTGTGAGGAGTACAGTGTCACTAAATAACCAAGATCCTAATTATCTATTGACACTAAACACACCAAATCAATATGTGACTATTCTCTTTAGTTTATTTAGCTCTATTTTTCAATCTGCTATTCTTCTTACAAAGGCAACCAGATGAAAGAGGCACCAGAACGTGTAAATCTTTGACACGCGGACATCCTGTTTCAAATATATCTGCATCCAAGAATAGTTCCCTCTACAAAATAACATCCTGCACATTCCTAAGGAAATTATTTCAGTAGAAAGGGATAAAACGTGAGGAAATGTCAATGTACATATCACTTCAAGATGTCCCTCCATGCATTCCCATACTATTTGAAGAGTTGGCCAAAAATTATCCACCTTTGGCTTTGGACAAAAGGACAAACTTCTCCATAAAACAGCAGAGACAGCACATGAGGCAGCCTGCAGCTTTGGGGGGAAACTGGAAAGGACACCCTCCAGCACGGGCCATGCTCTGCTCTACCCAGTCTTTGCTCTCAGCATTTATCACAAGAGAAAAAAACCTTTGTATTGGGCTGAAACTGCAGCGTGATTGCATTTTGTCTCAAACAAATAAATTAGGATCAAGTATCCCAATTAAAGGCAGGCCAGTATCTGCTATTTTACAGAAACCACTACCTCATCTCCTTGTCTCCTTTCTGCAGACAAATCTAAATGATATAATTACCTAGCTGCCATTCATGAATTAAAAGCAAAGCTGCCTGCTCTTCTAATAGAAAGAGCCAGAGATCCTAATGTGTGGCACCAGTGGGCTAAACAAACCAGAGGCAACCCCACTTGCAAAAGACTTTTTTCCCCAATCAGCTGTATTTTTAGTTAATAAAGAACCCTCACTGATTTACAGAAACTTCAAAACAGATGGCACAGTGCTTAAATGTCCTCTCTCCAGTTTCAGGGGCAACAAAGAAAAGAGCCAGTGTTGGTATCTAGCACACTTGAGATAAGATGGGAAAGAGAAGTGAGTGCATATGCAATGAGGTAAAGAAAGGGATATAGGCAGGAAACACGTTACATGGCCAGTGATCAAAGAAACAGGTTTAAGAAAGCAAAATTAAAACCTTTCCCCCTAATTTATTGCATTATTTATTGATACTGAGCTTGAACAGCTACAAATTGGCAATTCTGTGATAAGATTCAAGTTTTTCCACAGTGGCTTTATAAAATAACAGAGTTATAAAACAGGCCATTTTCATCACCCTAATGGATAAACAGCTTCCCCACACCTATGCCAACCAACGTACAGAAATTGCTACTCACAGGACCCAAGTTGGCTTCCTCGGCCTCATAGATGTAATGGTCCAGTGAAATAAAGTAATAGCCAGGCTCTACTTGATTGCACTGACGTCCAAACATGTGGGGCCGGCACTCGCACTGGCCAGACTCACTGGAGCAGCTGCAAGGGAAGAACAGGGAGTTTAGAGCACGTCCTGGCTGTGCCAGAGTCCTCTCCAGCCCTTATGTTCAAAGCAAGACGGGAGAAGCGGCGCTTCTGTACGCGAAATCGGGTCAGAACTAGTAAATAAAGCACATCAGGGCATGCTCTGGAACACTGCAGCTTGACCACCCGTGTTATTAAAACACCAGCACGGTGCCAGGCACAGTTTTGGCTCATCCCAACCACCAGCTCCCAAAGCAGCCGCAGGCGCAGGCCAGGAGCCAGCCCGGGCCGGGGACCGTTTCCAGCTTGCACGTGGTTTCCTCTGCCTGGACGGCAAGGGAATTCAGTGCTACGGATTCCAGGTGCTTCCCAGCGCAGAGAGCTGTCCCGGGCCAGTTTCATTGACTAACATGTTGCAGTCAAAGGCTCGGCGGCCACGACCAGTGCATGTCTGTCTGTCTGCCCCCACGGGGGACATGGCACTAGTCACAGTTTTCCATAGGCAAGGTTTTTTTTTTTTTTGGGGGGGGGTCTAACAACAAATACCCCTTCCTGTAATATTTGCTTTAGAAGCCTTTTCTAACATCAAAACACTCTTGATTTCCACAGAAAATTTCCAGGCATTTAAGCCTACAGTCTAAGTGTATTTAGTATTTAGTATTAGCACTCTAGGGATTTTTTTAATTTAAACCATTTTGAAATGACAAAGATTCACTTAAATGTTCACTTTTAACAAAAATGAAGCTCTGGTCACTTCAAATAAAAGAGAATTAAATAAACTTGTGATTTTATAAGCACTGTTGTCCTGCCTGAGAGCCAGTTTCTATTTTGGAGCGCGCTCGCAGCCCTGCAGAGGGGACGCAAGGCCCGCGCTGCTCCCGCTGTGCTCAGCACTGCATCACCAGCCTTCCCCATCTCCCTCCAAGGACTTTTCTGGGGAAAAGCTGCCAGAAACATCCCAGCTGTCACAGAAGGGAAGCTGGGAGATTGTCCCGAGATGGGTTTGCCATATTTTTCCCAGGAAGTTACCCCTCCAGGGCAGCAATATCCCTGGGATGGCGCCAGGACAAGGCTGTGACTAAGCAGCCGCCGGCTCCCTGAAGCCACAGGCAGGGCTGGGCACAGCCCTGCTCCAAGACTCTGGCCGAGGTCCCAGGGAGGCTGAGGTCCCAGGGAGGCCAGGCTGCCAGGGCCAGCCCCTTCCCCGCATGGATCTACCCTCGTGGCACAAACAGGTCACAAAACCCAGCTCTG